CACTGCTGCTCACTCAGATAATACTTCAAAAAGTTTGCTAACTACATTAGTTAAAATAAAGGTTTCTTCTAAAAGAATCCATGACGGGGAAACCCTATTGACTTATTTGGTTAAGTAAACAGTCTCAATAACCGCCAAGTTACGCATCTGACTTCGTGAGTCACTCTTTACGACAAAAATGTGGAGAAACTCTTTTAGTATAATTTTTAATTTGTCGATTTTTTTTAACATCCGTAAAGCGACGGATTTGAATCGTTTAACAGTTAACATAAATAGCTTCTTGCTGTTCTTAGGCCAGGGTCTATTTAACTAGAAGAATATTGAGCAATAGTTACGTAATTGCATTTGCAAATTATTATATCAAATCATTGTGCGTAAGTAACTCAGGAAATGCCTTTAGTTTTATGACGACTAGTATTTCTATTTTAAGTGTATAAGTTATGGTATATTGGAGAATTATGCAATGTAAAAATGTCAAGTAAATGAATGTATGTAAATAATTACATTTAAAAAATTAAGCACATTTACGAAATTATTATAGGATCAGAAGAGGTTAAGTTTCTCTCTCTTTTTAGCTCTTTGTTATAATTTGGCTGTAAGATTTGGTGTTTGTAGCTAGACTTTGCAATCTATTGGAATTTCTTACATGTCGTTTTCTGCAACTAGTCACGAAACTACATTATTTAATAATAACTATTTTCAACCAGGTGTGAGAAGAATAACATTTTTTGCAACCTAACAAAAAATTGTAACACTGGCATTATAGAATAACACAGCCTGTATATTCGGGTTATTAAAAAAAAAATACAATGGCGTGACAAGAGCTTTATAACCTTGAGTTGACCTTGGGTATTTATAACCAAATTTTACATTTTACCTGTACGTTTCACTCCACAGCATTATCATGTGGAAGAACAATGTTTAACAACCGCTAATGATAACGTCGTCATAGTGACTAAATGTAACTAACAAAAGAGTCTCACGTCTATAAATAAATTATGACCCGTTTCGCAACAAAGGCTGTGCTCAACTAATTAAAAAAAAGCAAAATAAGCCACGCTTGAAAATTATTATTTCCTCAACCTAGATACATTTCAAATTAAGAAAATAGTTTATGCCATTGAGCAAAATAAGGTTATCTGTCAATAATCGAATAGATTAGTAAATTTCTAATTTAATCCATTTTGTTTACAAGCTTTCACTGATCTTCCAAAAGATTTTTCGGATAATTTGAAAATCCACAAGAAACATTGAGAGTAACATTTACAAGAGTATTGGTTAGAAATCTTTTAAAATTTAGAGACTTAATAAAAGCATTATTAAGAGTAAACCCCATTAGCCATAAAGAGCGAACTTTTTGTTTTTTATTGAATTTGTATTTTAAAACGTAATTTCCCTAATTGAGTTTATAACAATGGAGATCGTGACTATCCTTTATAAGGCACAATTGACACGGATAAATTGACAACTCTGTGAGTCGATCTCAGAATTTAACGTTTTGTTCGAATTTTGTTGAGTTTTGTTGAATTCTGCGCTATTCCAATTTCATCCAAATAAATTAAGTGTCTTCGCCTTTTAGCGTGTTAGGAAATCAACCATATTTACTGCTAAGCAAATATAAATATTTACTAAAAGCAATAATTACAAGAGCGAGAAAATTTAACATTAAAAACTTTTTAATAAAAAAACAAAACCGACTTCCAAACGAAATACACTAAAAACAAAACATTCTCAAAAAAAAAACAGTGCACTAAAAAGTAACGAAATAATTCCTTGAAAATAGTAAACGTCCCTTATTGTAGCTGTTATGTCTATATTGTACAATTATTATTACTTTGATGTCGGTGTCAGCCGAGGTATGCAGTGATATTTCTACGTAAGGATTTCCACATTTTTACCATAACAATTAACCATTGTAAGTATAGTAACGTTTAAGTAATGAATCTACATTGACTGACACCGACTTCTGGTCTGGTCTAGATGAAAATATTAGAATCAAGGTTGTGTTAAACGGAAATAGCATAATACGTTCGTTAGATCTTAAGTTCGATGAACCGAGACTATGGTTTCTTTCGGATAAGTTGAATCGTAATCCCACGCTCTTTTCAATTTACGTCCGAATGTAATACGCAACGACTGCAGCTAAGAGGGCTATTTGACCATTTAATGTAATTGAATAGAAGTTATAAATACCTACGGACTTTTGGTGATAATCATAATCTACATCAACTACTATTAGGCTTGAATTGTTTTTAATTTCTCTAGACGTATTATTCAGTTATACGGCTGAAGGAAGAAGTTTTCTTTAATCAATGTAGTGGAAATTCACCAATACAATTTTTAAAGACCGTTGGATCAATGACCTTCGAAATCAGATATGTCTGGTTGCTATAGGGATCCGTACAGAATCTTATGAGACGATGTTATTAAATCAAATTATAATACTAAGATTATGTGTGAAGTTTAGATGGATGGATGAATGTTTGTTAGTGTTTGAACGGATCTTGATGAAATTTGGCATAAATGTAAGAGTATAGTCTGGAAGAACACATAGGCACATATTTACTTTGTTTTTTTTTTATTTTACGCGGGCGAAAGCTAGTATTTTTATTTCTTCAATTGACATTTATCATGTTTTATCGTGTTACATTTTATTTTAAAGCACATTTCAAATGTTATTGAACTTTAATACTCATTCATTCGAATAATTGGCATTAAGTGTATCTTATTAGGATTTAACGAAATAAAAATATATTATCATTAATTATCGCAAAAATATGATTACTAAGGCCATTAGGTTAATCAGTCGATAGCAATTGTATACTAATTGCAGTTTCCCTTGTTTAAATGTGGACGCATAAATAAACCGGCTAATTTCAAGCAGATATAAACAACATAATAAATAAGGTTATACATTGAATGGCGGAAGTGTAAATAATATTTGAAAGGAACTCTGAACAATGTTTGATTCATCATTTCATGCAAACTGATTTAGTGATCGTGTAATATTATACAAAAGAGCGAGTGTTAATGCCGTCTGGTTAGTCGATGTTTGGCTCTGCGCGCAATGAACGCTGCCTTGAATTACGTCATTTCTTTTTAAAAACACGTCCAAATCGAAGTGAAACGACGCGAAAAATTAACCACAGGACGTTGATAAATTGTTTAATAAGACAGTGTATTAAGTGGTGTATTTTCTACATTAATCCTATTTCCTAACCTCAAAGATTTGAAACACCAACGAGCGGTGCATTTACAGTTGTTTACCCACACAATCTTATAAGATCTTATAACCTGTGTTTACGTCATTAACTCTCAGAACATATGACTCGTTTTGGTGATTCATTTGCAGTCAACTAAGGGAACAGTGTATTTACAAAGAGTCTTATTATAGTTTAAAGTGAAATATTAAGAATGGATGAAGAATCAATGTGGAGAGGTTTTTACGAAAAGTTACAGCAACAGAAATCTGTTGAAGAACAAGTGCATGAAAGCAGGTAACACATAAACACGTATTATTATTCTCAGAAATAACGAAATAATAATTTAACGCATGTGTATATTTATATTTGTTTTGGCATTATTGCACTTAAAGCAAAACCAAAATTCGTATCATCTTTGCAACGAATATCTAAAACATAGTTTTATTTTAAACGAAGATCGCACAGCAAGTTTACATTTTTGGTAATATAATTTACATTGAATCAAGTGAATTGAGGTCAATGTGTTATTACAAACTAGTTTTTTAAGTAATACAAATAAATCGTGGATAGGTATATCCCCAAAATATTTAGTAATTAACCTTATCTTACCATCTTAATCCTTACTAATATTAAAAATGCGAAAGTCTAGATGGATGGATGGATGTTTGTTAGAGATCGTAGCTGAAATTTAGCATAGATGTAGAGGATAGTCTGATAGAACATAAAGGCTACTTACTTTTTTTTAATTCTTCGCGGACCCGAACATGCATAGGTTTATTCTTCTCTCTTCTTTATTCTTCTTCTATCGCCTGGAAAATATCACCATTTTTCTAAGCGTTAGCCCATAATGCTAAGATTAACCTTAATTAACCTTCTTCAGATGACAAAACGGACGTTACGCGATGTAATGTAACATGTGATATGACGAGCATTCATTCAGTTAATTCGTAGTTACGAGAAAAGCAGCGAGCCGGTCAATGCGAACGTTACACCTCGTAACGAAACATATAGGTACCATTCGTTTCTCACAAGACTAAGACTTCATTTAGAAAACAATAAGAGGTGTTTCTAGTTGTGACGAACGCCTGTTGTTCTACCTCCTGGGATTTTTTCCCCAATCGGTCACATCGAGCACACTAATCAAAAAACATTCAGTGGGAAAAGTTGCCATTTGGTCAAATAATCAGCGGGCACGTCGCGTCGACCAAAATAAGCTACTTATTTAAATTTTAAATGTGCATTATGCTGTCATGTAAACATAAGCGATTGGAAGTAATTCATAAAATCCTTTAACTTTATCGTAGTATATTAAAAAAAAAATCTATTAATTTTTTATTTACTAATACCAATTTACAGCAGGGATTTTTAATTTTAAACTTTACCTTTACGCCTTAAATTTTAAACCTTCACGCCTTCTTTTGTGCATTTAAAAGTTTAATTCAACAACACAATAATCTGAATCTTCTTATTAACTTTTTAGTGTAGTTAAAAAGTTATTTAATTATGCCATAGTTTTACTAACATATTTTATCGCAGCATGTGCATATTGCGCCATCTAGAGTCCGTTCGTGGTACAGCTGTAAGCTGTAATGTTGCTAACATTATAAATTTCCCTAGTTCAGTTCAGTAATAAAAAGAAAACTGTGGTGGCGGTGTTTAGAGTATGTTTATAGAAATACATAAGTAATGAAATCCACAACATAATAAACAAATAAAATATAAATGAGGAAAACATGATAATGGCAACACATATCTGTCTTTCTTGGTTAATTCGTTATCTCTTTCGCTCTCGGTTTTTGTTTCATCCAATACGATACCCAAACGTCAGACTCAGATCTGCCTGTGTATTATAAAAGTTTTTTTTAAAGTAAACATTTATCAAAACATTTAAATAACTTTGTGATAATAAGCCACTAAAGTGTTTTATTTATTGCGCATCTTATTGATTAAGACCGTGTTACGTAAGCTGAGATACGGCGAAAAGCCGGCGGCGGGCAAGTACAATAAAATGATTCTTTCACGAATTGACACAACTCGCATTTGTAAATTCTATACAATTGTATCAAGAAATATGCAATTGCTCAGAAATCAGGCTTATATAAATGGGCAATGGGTGAGCGCCGACAGCAATTGTGTATTTCCGGTGCTCAATCCTGCGGATGATAGTGTAATAACAGATGTACCGGATATGGATGTTTTCGATGCCAAGAAAGCGATCGAGACTGCCTCAAATGCTTTTGAAAGCTGGAAAAATACTACCCAGAAGGAGCGCTCCTATATTCTCAGAAAGTGGTATGGTATTTGTCAAAAAAATACTGATTATTTAGCCGAAATTATAACAGCCGAATCTGGTAAACCACTTTCGGAAGCTAAAGGCGAAGTAGCTTATGGTAATTCGTTTCTAGAATGGTTTGCTGACACCGCAAGGCATATAAATGGTGAAGTGTTAACTAGCCCATGGCCAAATAAACAAATTATGGTAACTAGACATCCTGTTGGAGTTGTATCTGTTATCACACCTTGGAACTTTCCTTTTGCAATGATCACACGTAAGGTTGGCGCTTTAATGGCTGCGGGGTGCACCTGTGTTATTAAACCATCGGAAGATACACCATTAGCTGCTTTAGCTGCTGCTGAGTTAGCAGAACAAGCTGGAGTACCAAAAGGTGTTATTAATGTGGTAACAACAAGCAGAAAAAATGCTCCTGATGTGGGCAAGGTAATGTGTGAACATCCCAATATTAGATGCATATCTTTTACCGGCTCTACTCATGTGGGAAAAATTCTGTATGGAATGGCGGCTAAGGGAGTGAAAAGGGTAGCTTTGGAATTGGGTGGAAATGCTCCCTTTATTGTATTTTCAAGTGCTGATATAGAAAATGCATTAAATCAAGCAATGTCCGCTAAATTCAGGAACAATGGTCAAGCATGTGTTGGTGCAAATAGATTTTTAATTCATGAAGATGTGTATGATAAGTTTGTTGCTGGTTTTAAGGAACATATCGGCAAGAAATGCATCTTAGGCCCTGGTACAAAGGCAGATGTAACTTGCGGGCCATTAATTAATGATATGCAAGCCCAGAAAGTGTCCGGATTGGTGGATGATGCTGTTAAGCAAGGTGCAAAACCATTGATTGGTGGAAAATTCTCCAAACTTGGGAATAAATTCTATGAATCAACATTGCTGGTTGATGTTAAACCTAACATGTCAATTTATGGAGAAGAGATATTTGGTCCAGTCGCTGTTTGCCTTAAATTTAAAACTGAAGAGGAAGTTGTTGAAATGGCAAATAGTACAAATAGTGGACTTGCAGCGTATGTGTTTACACGGGAGCTTGGTCAAGCATTTAGGATGTCTCGGCAGTTGGAGTTTGGGATGGTTGGTATAAATGATGGCATCCTCTCAGCAGCTGAACCACCATTTGGAGGAGTAAAAGAGTCGGGTATAGGAAGAGAAGGAAGTAAACATGGCATTGAAGAATACACAGATCTTAAATATACTTTATTTTCAGGATTAAATATGTAATCCATCTATTGTTAATTGATATTAGCTTTAATAATTGCCATATTATGTAACTCTATGGAATGCATACATCTTGATACTGTAATAATGTAATTCTTTAGTTAAAATAGGATTGTTTATGACAAAATATATAGTTAGATTTAGATGTTTAAGTTTTGGCTTGTAATTTTTCTTCTATTGTTGAAATGTATTAAATATAAGCTAAACCATTCCAGTCTTCCATTATAATGTGATGATATAGGATTATAAGAACAAAATACTCTAAGGAAAACAATATGCATTTATTCATGAATTTTCTTATTCAATTTAAAGTTAAATTATTTAAATCTTATAATTTTGGAGCTAAAGAACAGTTATTAAATTTTATATATGTTAAAATTCTTTGTTGTTTTAAATTTAGTTTTTAGAAATTATTTGTCATTAATAAACTTTTATTGTGTTGTATGGTGTTATTATTTTTATCCTCTACCATTATATTGTGTGCATTATTAAATTAAAATCTTACATTTATAATTTTTATGATCAATGTTTATATTGGTAGCTACATGTGATAATGCTATCACATTGATATAAATACTTTTTTCTGGCGATGATAGTAATGAAATATTTTGTCATATACTTAGACATGGAGCCAAAAAGATTATTACAATAAATGAGTTTTAATTATAAACTCAACCACTACTTAATACAGCATGAAGAAGAAAAAAGTGGTGTGCCCTCAAGAGGAAGGATTAACAGGGGAGGAGATGGACAGAAAAGGGGAATACTTTTTCATGTTCACAAACACAACCAATCTCCTATAAACGAATTAAAAGCCGGTAGTAATAATCTTATATTTTTTTACAGAATACAAGATGTGGACGACAGTTTCTTCGAGAAGTTTGGTTCAATACTGAAGCAAGTGTCACAAAGAGCTGCGTTAGAGGAATCCACACCTTTGGCTCCTCTGAAAGAAGTCGAGGAACAAGATGAGCAGCAGAGTGACGTCACGGATCTGCAAGGGGAGAGGAGTCCAGGAAGAGACTCCGATAGTGGAAATGAGACACTTTTGGACACAGACTCAGAGCCTGAAGATCCAGAGAAGATAGATTTTTACGTAGAAGCGGTTGGTTGGAATGTGAGTTTCAGTTTTTTTTTATATTTCCAATAATAACGGCCGAATACTGATACTATCCTTGAACACATCGCTTCGTAAGCTTCGCTTACAATCCTTTGCACGTCACTATTTTAATGGTATTTTAATTTATTTTAATGGTACTTCAGTTTAAGCGTGGCTTTATCGTTTAAGACGCTGTTACATTTATTAAATATCGTTTCAGGATTCGAATCTTAGAATAGAAAGTAAAATGAAAAACTATGTTGCGTTTATGATATATCTGTACAAAATTATATTGTTAGCTCTAGTTTTTCTAAGGGAATGAGGGAGATGACATTCATGTATTTGTATTTAGTGCCAAACATGTATCCAATATGGTATGGTATATGGAAACCAGTGTTGGAAGGGTTTGCCGTACGGCGCTAATTTATTTATAGGTTTTATGAACGGATATGTCGGTCAGAATCGTTTTATTGTTCCGAGCGCGGCTTGAACTAGACATTGAGTTGGACTTATTTAAGGAAAGTGGGTCGCGTTTCTGAGATTCTACATACGCTGACAAATCTGTATACGTGTAAACGTTGTGACATTTGTCGAGTATCATTTGTCATAGCATTCCCATAGTCTATAGTTTGTTAAACTTATAAGCGACACTAGTTGATCTAAATCTAGGGATGAAGAGCTACCAGTGATATGGTCTTCTTAAAAGATGTTCCTGTATCTATTTTCGAAACGACTGGGCCGATTTCGACCGAACTTTTACTGAAGGGTAGCTGACATCGATGGGCATATCATAAGCTACTTTTTTAAATACCGCGCTGCCAAAATGGTGACTGGATCGCTATCTCTGGAACGGGTGGACCGATTTGGATGGGACTTTGGACCTTGAAAGTAGCTGGTAAAAGTAGATGCACGCGGGAATGTTATAAACGACCATTTTTTAGATTCCAATCTATCGAAGTTTGCGGGGAACAGCTCGTTTTAAATATTTCTCTGTTATCTTTTCGCCGCCTATCGTAAACTTATATTTTTATAGAGACTTGACCTAATTTAAAATGATAGAAAAACGAATTTGACAAAAATTAAACAACTCTCAGTTATTTTGATACTATTTTTTGTTCGTTATCAACGCAGTTTTCACAGAATTAGAAACATAAAAATTTTAACACACGGTGCCTTTGAAATCTAGTGCAATTTATTTAGATCTTTAGCTATGTAGTTTTATTGTAAAACGATACTTATATACTTTGTATATGGCATGTTCGTAGGTGCACAATGGCCGCGTCTCGAAGTCGATGGCATCCCGCCAATGACACTTTTACTTTCCCGAAACGTTTTCCCAACGTCTCAGCCAAGGTTTTCAGTGGACAACGTCATTGCAAAATGCGTTCACTTGGTTCCACCCATCACATGAATGAATAAGTGATGAATAGTCTTAAAATATAATATTTATGATTTCGGTAGGATGATGTATTTGCGTTGCTGATAACGAAAATAACATTTAAAGAAAATTTTGTCCGTCTGTTTTTCCGCAAGCCGTGATTATTCCGGGTAATCTCTGAAACAGCTGAACCGATTTCGACCAGGCTTTCACTGAAGGGTCGCTGACATAGACGGCTATATTTTTTTTAAATTCAGCGTTGTCAAAATGGCGTAACGGATGGTCAAAATTTGCGCTAGGGAAGTTTGCGACAGCTCGTCTTAAATAAAACGAATGTGCTATTTTGCTTTGGTTTTATAATCAGTTCATATGACATATTTTTTAAAATAAACATAAAAAGGAAATACGGTGAGAGTCCTTCGAGAAGCGAGTGTATTACCTTAAAGGCCGGCATCGCATCTGCAGTTCTTCGAGTATTGGGGATATCCATGGGCGGCAATTATCAACTTGGTGTTCAATATTGCGAGACGATGCCCACTTCTTTTTAAAAAAAAAACCACTTGGTTTCGTTTTTTCTAGAGTAGGGTATAGAATTACTTTCTTAGACAAAGCAAATATTTAACATAATCGTAAAACATATTCAAACATTTCAATAACGGTTATTTATTATATCTGTTCAATTGATTTGATAAGACTTTGAAGTGGGACGGCAGTCCTAGGCATAAATTAGCGCAAAGTCTAGATTGCGCACATAGTCTGGTTATTATCAACGCACAGACGCACGAAGACATAATATATTATGCAATCTGTTAGTCTTTTTCAAATAACCTATTAACTTAACTATCTAAGAGCTAGATTAGTATTTAAGACGTAAAATTTAATTTTATATGATAAAATATCCATAGTAAAAAGTTATGTGTAAGCCATCACCCCATTTTACTTTTAAAAGGAATTAAAAAAGCTGTTAATATGAAATTTATAGCCTAAACACTTAGCAGTTTTTTCAAAGGGCTCGTAAAATAGAATCGGGAACAGTTTAATGGTGATTCACACGGCGCACACTGTTTCCATCTTCAAAGCACGCATTAACAGAGGTGTTGGTGTTGCGTATATCCGCTATTCATATCGTCTACAACATTGCTGTATTAGGCCGAACACTCACGATACGGTTTTACACGCAGCAGAATGCAGTTGCGGGTAAAACCAAGCAGCATGGCTTTCGTAGAAAGAAAAATTGTATTATTTGTCCCGAAACCATGGAAACAGGCGTATCATCCAGTCTGCAACTCTGTTATCCGCTTCGATGGTTTAAACTTGCGGTAATTAACGTTAAACGAAACTGTATCGTGTGAGCTTGGCCTTACAGCAGTGGTTAATAAAATAAATAAATCGTTCAGCATGTGCGTACCTGCGGGAAGACCTTGAGAGCCACCTACATTCCCCGCAATACATTTTATGGGATATATCCGTTAGTGACCACGTTTTATACGTTTCAATTAAATTTTCCTATCATGATACGGTATTAATTGCTCTTAATTACGACTTGCACCTACTCCAATGGATGTAAATGCCCAGTAGTTTTTGAGTTATATCAATACGTACAAAAATACAAATCTTTTCTCTTTATAATACTATTATTTACCCCGTGTTTTTCCCATCCTAAGTACGGTTGGCAAACTAGACTTTCGATTTGCATATTTTAGCGTTTCTCAAATCAAGATATATACATAATAAAATCGATGTCGTAATCGTATCCTTTGAAAGCACAGTTGTATAAACTTCCTTTTTGTTTCTATAACAAAGTACGCAAATGCTCTACAAATGTTAATTTCACACATGGGTAGAATAGTAAGACAGTACAGTAGAACAGAGCAATACTGCAGTATTCCCACATCAGATACATCTGCCTTAATATTTATTTTTATATTTTGTTAAAGAAAAGGTATGGTGATTAAATGTTTTAACTTATGCTGTTGTAGTTGCGTTTTGTGAGCAATAGTAGTACTGAAATTTCTACTGTTCTGCCCTCATGTGAAACTAGCATTAGGGCGCCTTGATTTCCTTTGATCGGTTCGATCTAAAAAGTAGGGTAATAAAAACGCTTTCATATAGTGTTACTATGGTTTTCCTGCTCTTATGCAGTCATAAATCTTTATTTTCCATTAGCAATGGTATAAAAATAGCGATTAACATTATCTTGTACTATTGCAACATAAGACGTGTAAACCGCTATTATAAATATATTATCATGCTCATTAAACAACCATAGACAAGTAAATAAATGATAAAAGAGATTTTATAGGAAAACAATTGATTTTATCTGTTAGTTATTATCTTAAGAGGATATTCACGTCTTGAAATTTTAATAACTAATGAGGGATTTATTTTTCAATTTACTATTAAATTTTAATAGTTAATTGGTTCAGAATTCGATAAAACTCTGACTGAAAACAAAAGCACTCCGATTTCTTGTTAGTTGATATTTGTTTTATTCGTTTACTGAGAACATGCTCTTTGTATATTGGATTATATTGTCGAAATTCCCAAAATTCAAAAGAAGTTGTTAAATAATAAATTAGTATCTTTTTTATATTATTGAGTCTGGGTTCATACGTCCCCGGTGCGGTGGCGGCGCTTCGCGAAAATAGAATCGGCTGAGTGCCGAATATCCCGGTCCGAACAGTGCAGTATGGCGCGCACCTCATACGTGCACGTCTGACCCTCTCCGTTATATTAACATGAGTGCCATAAAAGTGTCATAATTTCTAAAATGTCAAATCTAACGCGAATCCCAAAAACAGATATGAATAGGAGAGGTTAAATTGATCTGTTTCGATGGATTTTTAATGTAGATAATACAGAATGTGTCAATATTTGTGGATTGAAGTGTAGTGTAATAGTGTTTGACCATGAACGGAATGGGGACACTGAGAACCAAGTTCAGGGGCATCAAGAAAGAGCTCCTGGATAGACAGACCAGCATGCGTATACAATCTATGACTGTATGTTAATATATCATTGAACTTATTACATAAAACAAAACCGACTTCCAAACAAAATACACTAAAAACAAAACAAAATGCACTAAAAACAAAACAAAATACACCAAAAACAAAATATTCT